TCCAGCATGTTTCATGAAATATAACTCCATATTATAATAAAAGAGTTTCTCTTTATATGTAGCCAACTCAAGTAGACATACTTTATGTAATTGTCATAGATAAACTGATACATGAAAAACATTTTTGTTCCAGATGCTGTTCTGAACATGATGTATCTGTAGAGAAGTGATTAGTCTGGATCTATACTTACCTACTTGGTGAAATGAGGATATTTATAATGAAACCTTTACTCAGATGAACTTTCATACAAGTGTCCAGTGTAATAAAATCTCTCTCTAATGAGAGCAAGCTGTTTTTGGAACATATGTATGCTATGCTATCAGTGATAAGAATTATTGAAATCACATGTGTGTTGATATTTTTGATTTTGTTTTTGTGAGAGTGTTGTTTTTATGAAAAATATATGTTTTACAACAATTAAAAGTGCATCAATGATCAAAGCTGGTACTCAAAAAGAACCACAAGAGTGAAAAGTATATCAATTTGGAATTTCTATGGAATTTTATAATGCAGACATGAATTTGAAATGATATATGTTATCACTGTAACTTCCCACAGCATTCCTTGAGTGAACTCGCAAAAATGTCATACGAAGAAATTCCGTTGAACATGGAAGTGTAATGCAAAATAATGTTAGTTTCAGTAAGATACAGGAACTCACAATTTCAATATTTTTTAAAATTCCGTTGAACTTCAAAAAAAATGGTTTGTTGCAACGTTTCATGGATTTACGTGGGATCTTCAGTGTCGCGGACATTCGAAAGTCGCCAGGAATTACTGGGTACAGTTTTTTGAACATCGCATTGGAAGTTGTATTCCTGTTGTTGATTATTCGCGACTTCCCAGGGATAAACTCTGGTTTACTGGGAGCGGTTCGTTATTGAGATTACATTGAATTTTTTTTTTATGAAAATATTTCAATATTGTTAATAGATTCATCGAGGGGTCATCCACTCGGTCCAATACGTATACACTCAGCGTCCAAACCCATCCCAATATCACCAGTCTCAAACAAATATGTCAAAGTTCAATTGGTCCATTCTGGGACCAATTCGTCAATTTCTAGTCCAATGCTGGAGTGAAATTTTCATTCTGTCCTATTCTGTCCAATCTGAATTGTTGCCAATTAATGTTATATCAATTCTGCGTCAATCGCCAATCTGAAACAAGCGCTTCAATCCGGTCCAATCTCAAGCAGTAATTATGTCCAATATCATCCAAATCTCACACAAATATGAACAATACTAGCCCATTCCGTCCATTCTGGATCTAATCCGTCCATTTCTGGTTCAATCCTGGGTCGAAATGTCCGATCTTGGCCCATTCTGTCCATTCCGAACTGTTGCCAATGAATGGTATTTCAATTCTGCGCCAATTGCCAATCTAAAGCTGTCGGTTCAATCCGGTTCAATCTCAAGCAGTATGCCCTATTCCGACCAATATTAACCAATTCCGATTGATTGTGTTCAGTTTAAGTCCATTATCGTCCAATCCAAATAAATTAGGTCTAGGGTCGTTCGATCCCGTCGAACATCAACAAATGCAGTTTTTTTGTACGTTTTCCGAACGAGTACTCGTCCTGGATATATAGCCATAAAAGTGTACAACAAATTTGTTCTGAAAAAATTGTTTCAAAATTGTTTCATCCGTCATTCGGTTGCCCCCTTACGAGCAACCCTCGGAAGTCTCCGAGAGTCTTGTGCGAGCAAGGAATGACGGGGGCGTTACCTTTAAACGTGTGATTCCAAACACTTTCTTGGGCCATCAAAAAAACTTCTGCAGTCGTTAAGAATCGAACCCACGACCAGCAAGCGAATGCGGATTAGAATATTGACACACTGTCCGCACGGCTACCTTTGCCAAATGATATCAAGAATTTTCCTATCAACCCAGATATTGCCAAACTATTTTTTCAAATTCTTTTCGACAATCCCACTTGAGTGGTCTCAAATAGTCAAGTGAGTATCCTCACAAGAATGATTCAGGTATTTTTCTCCTCACTATGAAAAAAACTGCAGCCTTTCGAGAGGATGGTGACAATTTGAACGAACAATTTCTAAAAAAAAAAATTTCATCTGAAATTAACAGAAAGATCTCATTTCGATCTGGTATTAGGTATTAGGATGGAAAATGTATATAAGATAACTGCTTGAAATGTCACAAAGTATTATTTTGAGTGGAAATCGATTGAACACATTTCAGGATGTAATTGCACATCTGGCATGCAGAATTTGCTTTCTTGTGACACTGTGAACATACTGCCTGGTTCTCTCTGTATACTATCTGATGATTGGTACCATCATATTTCGGATATGCATGTGCATTAGCTTGTATTCTTGAAGGTCCTCTCTTGTGTTTTTTTTAAGATTCCAAAATTCCCAGAAGAACGATACGTCTAAATCTTGAATGATCTAATTCTTCACCATTATAACGATGAAGTTGCCATGCATTCTGTTCTGCCATTTCTTTGTTCTGATAGATGTTCTATAAAGACTGATGTTTTGGCCAGCCCTGTTTATCCCCCCCATATTCTCATTGAATTATTTTATACAATGTGGTTGTTCAACATGAAAAGTTTAAAATATAAAAAAAACTCTCCAAGTCGTCTCCACAACGTTTAATTCCAAATTCGAGAAGGAGTGGACATGTTTCTGACCCAGAAGGTATCCATCATCAGCCAGCCTTTTTGGGAAAATCTTTTCACTTGTAATGATGGATAAACTGTCGAACAATTGGAAGCCATAGTCACTATATCATTGTCATGCCATTTACAAATGATAACTCTACTACTCTCATCTCAAATATATTCAAAGGATCTCCTGTCCATCTCTTTCAAGATTTCAGAATGTTCAACATTGCAGTCCTTTTCCACTCTTTTTTTTCTCACTCTCCCTGTTCCTTTGATACCACGCACTTTCAGTAACTCTAGCAATTTCAACGACGTGAAGAAATTGTCAAAATAGAGGTGGAATGGAATATCTGAATGACTATTCTAGATAACATTAGAGAATTGGAGTGCCACACTGTCACCTAGGCCTAGACTCTTGAACTCTTCTGGCAATATGGTGGAGAAACCTTGATATGGTTCAAAACATTCAATATATCCTAAGCCGGTTGGTGTGGTGTGGTATCAGAGTTTATACTCCCACCTGAGAAGTTTTCCACGTATAAACTGTTTGGTACCATGCCAACCAGAATATGTTATCATCGATTCATCGATAATATGACATTCCTTTATTGGTGCCAGATCAATTAACCGTTGATTCAGAATATTGATCAGAGGACGCATTTTAGAGAACTAATCTGCAGCATCGAGTTGAACATTCCAATTCCAATGTATGTTTTGCATGAGGAATCGGAAGCGATTCCTGAACATAGCTTCATGAACAGCCTTATTTCAAGTATCATCGGAATTTTCTCAATACAATTTCCGCCTTGGAAGACAAACATAATATCCACTAAGTAATAGGATTTATACAGAACATATAATTTCATCTGGTTGGATATCTCTTGATCTATTATGTGGAACAGCGTACAGATTGAAATTTTCGACAAGCATATGGAAAACTTCGTTATCAACAATTTTTAGAAACGAGTCTACGCGACATCGAGTTTTTGAGTGCGACCACTTCATTCCGCATTAGTAACTCTGGATTTTGGTCCTTTTCGTCCAAACATGATTTTATATTGCCTCATTCTGTATTTTCTTCCTTCGCTTCTCGAAATGTGATAATGGCAAATCGTCTCCACTATCAGAATTTTTTACCATATTGCCCAATTCCTGAGGGATTTATTATTTCAACTCCCGTTCTGAATCGACTTCCTGGCAAATTATTCATTTCAACGATATCCTCTTCACCCGAATCTTCATCAGTGTTCTCATTATTCGCATTATCTGGTACTCGAATTATAATTCCATCTGGTATATTTCTTTTTCCATCAGAATTTTCAAGTTCTCCAAACATCTCATATAACGTTAGCGGTTTTTTCCAAAAACTGTAAAACATTTCTTCATTAACTTTTAACAACCCATCTTGCCACCATCCTTCATAAAGATCGGTTCAAAACGGTGACAATAACAATAATATAGAAGGATGAATCGCTAACAATGAATGTAGGTAGAAAATATAGATATGTTCTAGTCTTTTTCTGGAATAAAAGGTTGATTCATTGATTATATGACTTTTTACACTCACCTACGATTTTCCGTCTTTATTGAGCTCCAAGTATGTACATGGAACACCAAAAATTTCAAGATCAACACAACAGTTCACAGCTGGGTAAACACTGATTCTCTCATAACAAACCATGATGAACAATTGAACATAGAAACCTAATGCCATCTACCATAAAACTTACCAAATAACTGTCAAGTAGAAAACTGTGATACTGCCTTTCAAAAGGTTGGTGGGAATATCTGGGTCGAACTCAATAAGTATAGAATCAGGGGGTTGCTCTCGGATGAATCATAAAATGAATTTCGATAATAGAATGTAATACCCTACAATAATATGAATATTGATCATTGTTTTGTAGGACATTGCTATTACAATTTCCATTGTTTCTATTCCAATGTATTGTATCTCCTTCGACCAATTCAATATCACCTTCGATGATCCCACTCAATAAAAATCATCATCATTATCAAAGGTGACCTTAATACGATGAACTTTGTGTAACGTAAAAAAGCTTTCGTTATGTTGGAGGACATCCAACGATACTGAGAGGAATTAGATACTTCATTGTGCCCTATATCATAACGTAACATGTAATCAAGGATACAAGAATGTGATGAGACTGGCATGGTTCTTTGCCCAGTTGGTTACGAAGTTTTAAATGAAGCTATCGGAATAAATACCCATCGATTCTCGAAAACGTTCTCATTCAAAAGTTCGCTCAAGCTTTACGAGATCCACTATTTTCATTCCAATGAGAAAAAACATAATGCGGTTTCTGTTTTTCAAATTTTTTTGCACATTTATAGTGAATCTATTTTCAGAGAGAAGAAGTGAGCAGGAATCGTGTCGATGATTTCAAGAAACCTAAAAAGAAGAGAATGAGTCATTACATCAATGAAAATAGTTTTCCCTTGACGGCAGTTGAAGAACAGTATAAAAAACCTAAATTATGTAATGATACTAATAGTCTCTTAGATAGTGATGAAGCAGGATATACTAAGAAAAGCATTAAATGGAGATCACCGTTAGTATTCTCACCAGCTGTGAAATTTTCTCCGAGAATAGATAGATTGATGAGAACAACTAGTGAAAATGGAATACAGAATGATTTGTAAGTTCTTTACTCATAGCCCTTTCATATTATAATCATCAATTTTTAGTGGAAATGGAACCATCGAAACCTCAATATCATCAAGAAATTCGATACAAACCGGAAATGTGACACTGGATTCACAAAGAACATCAAAACCATACAAAGGGGGCCAACATAGTTCTAGTGATCTTAAGCAACGGGGAACTAAATTTCCGCTTCGTGACGATGACTACGAAGATATTTCCAAATTACTGACCTCGAAAGAATTTTCTGAGATTTTCGAGACATCGTTTCTAGAAGATATGAAAACTAAATCTGAAAAATGTACCCCTATAAAAAACTCACAATCGAATAATACATCTTCAGCCACAGACTACTACACGCAATTTTTAAATCAATCATTAGGATATACAGAAGAGCAGCATGAGAAACCAGGATCTCAAAAATCACAGCCTTCATTGAACTGGTCCTCAAATGAGAATCAAGAAAATGAGACACCAAATATCGAGAAAATACCAAAAAATAAGGACGTATCACAAAGTTCATTCGAATTCGAAGATAATAATATCAACTGTAAGGGAGTCATTCATAGTACATTCATGTGCTCTGATGAAGACATACAAATAACTCGAAATAAGCTTTCACAGTTTGAACAGCGGAACATGACCTTTGATAGGCAGCAGGATAGATGCTATTCCAGGAATGAGCGAAATGATGTGCCAATGAATCCGATGCTACAGATGGGCTCTAGTTGGTATTTGATACCTCGTTCAACGCCAGATTCACATATTATTCAGCCAACTCATACTTCACATCCTTATAGGCCATTTCTCCGAAACAAAAATATGTATTCTCCTGACTATATGGGCCCCATAATATCTTCAAATTCCTCGTTCGAACCAGGATGTCATGGATTTGGATGCTGCCAATTGATACCTCACGAATATCAGAATGCACACGCACATTCAATTGATCTCAATCAATCAAATAATTCATCATTCCAACCTACTGCGAATCATCATTATCCACTGAGAAGATGTACGAGACCAATATACCATTTCGATGATGATTTCCAGTCAACACATTCACTGAATTGTGACATGAGGGAAGATCAGTGGCATCAAAATATTTCTCAGGTAATTATTTTGTGTAATTTCACTATCGCTACCACAAAAATATAGTTTTGTCTCTGAGTCTACAACAACTCTATGATTTCAGTGAGTAGGTAGGAATAGGCAAAGTGACATAGATAGTTAACGTTCGAAACATTCTCACATCCTGAGGTATATTTCAAAAAAGTGCTTCTCATGCTCAATCGATTTCAACATCGGAATACTTCGAACTATGAAGGAATAAAATATACTGTTACTCAATATGAACTGATATGGGCAGAGTGGAATACTATTTCAATGATGGGGCATATGAAAGTTGCTTTGAAATTTCGATAAACCAATTCGAAACGATTTGAAATATAGACACAAATATGAAATCTCATTCAAGAGATGAGAAATATACTATGAGTTAACGTTCTGAAAGAGTTCAGGAACTGCAAGGAAGCCTATCCGCATCTGCTTTTGTTCTTTGATAATCATGTGTAGATCAAACCTAGACATCTAATCGTCTTTTGCATGCCAACGAAAAAATTTTTGAGTTCTCTTCATAGGTACATTTCATTACTCATTCCACATTGCCCTCACAGCATTCATTTCACTCTGCCCGTCGTGTCCTGAAAACAATAAGAAAAATATATTTACAAGAAAGTTCGAATCGGATATTTTTACACATATGTATTCTTGAAGAAGTGTATTCAAAGAAATACTAATAGCTGGTCAATAAAAAAAGTTGTGAGTTAGTGAAAGCACAAAAATAATTACTATTTTCATGACATATTTCAGATCCAACGATATGTTTCAAATCTGAATTGATATTTCACTTTGTACCTCGCTCAACGTTGCCCGTCCTTTCCCTACTTAGTGTGACTTCGAGATTAACCTTGATTGATATTCAGTAAATACCATTATGTTCTATGATGGAAATTACATTTTTCCTTCAGTTAAAATAAATCAGTTCGAAAATAAATAGTGTCGCGTTCGCTTCTGCACGTGACTAACGTGACAATTGGTATCAGAAGTGGGATATTCCAGTGTGAAGAAAACAGACCGTAACAATAAAGAAACTAAACGAGTTGAAAGTAGTGGACTTGAAACGAGAGTTGGGGGAGAGAGATCTTGACAAAACAGGGATCAAGGGGACACTACAGCATTCTCTCAAAGGGCATATGGTGAGCGTGGGTCAAGATCCAGAGACGTTCCCCTTCAAGGAATCAGCTGCAGCGGAATCGATGTTAGCCGGGATCTCGGAACAGATGTCGTCTCAGCAACAGAAGATCTCTGAACAGATAGCGGCTCAGCGACAAAACATTGCGGACCAGATGGTGGCTCAGCAGGAGAAGATCACGGACCAGATGGTGGTTCAACAGGTAAAGATCACGGACCAGATGGCAACTCAGCCAGAAGAAATTTTGACACAAATTACTTCTCAGCAAAATCAGATTGCATCGCAGATCTCAGCTCAACAGCGCAAGGTATTGGATCAGATATTGGCTCAACGGGAAGAGATATCTGCTCAGAAATAGGTATCAGTTCAGTTTTCTACTCAGCAAGATGGGATTGCCTCTCAGATATCCAATCAACGAGAAGAGGTATTAGCTCAGATTTCTGCTCAGGCAGATCGAATTGCCTCTCAGATATCAGCCCAACGAGAAGACGTATTGACTCAGATATCAACACATCGGGAAGAGGTTCTGACTCGGATCGCTGCTCAGCAAGAACATGACGTTGCTCAGCAAGGATAGATCGCGTCTCAGGAGGACAATGTTATAGCTCGACTCAGATATCAACACATCGGGAAGAGGTTTTGACTCGGATCGCTGTTCAGCAAGAACATGACGTTGCTCAGCAAGGATAGATCGCGTCTCAGGAGGACAATGTTATAGCTCAGGTTTCAACCCAATTCATCACTCAGATAGAAGAAATAAAGTAGGAGCAATAGCTCGGAATAAAAATGAGAGCTGTGTTGGAGATGTCTGGAAATGGTCAGCGACTCATGATTGGAACCACAGTAGGGCCTGACAGTGACTACTATCAATCGAGTAAAGCCGCCTTCATTTGATGGGGTAACATCATGACCCAACTATCTGAAACAGCTCGAAGCAGCTTTCAAAGCCAATGGGTGGACATCAAAAGTCAAAGTGGTAGCTCTCGCAGTAGCTTTACGGGGTGATGCACTGAACATCTTGCAAGCCATTCCGGAAACAGAAACCGATAGCTACGATCATCTCGTCAAACGCCTCAAAATACGGTATGACCACGAACATCTCCAGCAAGTGTTTTTAATGGGATGTTAGGCTGTTCAAACGTTCGTAGATAAACAACAAGATATTGGAATGCAGGAAGCAGTTCGCTCCACTCGACCAAAAGACCTCACCAGTGCTCTGGTAGCTGCACTTGAGATCAAGGCCCCAGCAGAAGCTTCCCGAGGATCCGCCAAGGTACGAGCTATCAATGAGACTGAGAACATAGCCAAGAGCCATAGGCAAGATTCAAATGAAGCCTTGAATGACGCCATCAAGGGCCTCTTGGATTACAAGAGGAGACCAGTTCGCTGTTGGAATTGTAGGAAGTTGGGCCACCTCCAGAGATCTTGTGAAAGTGCCAAGCAGGCTGCTGAGGAGGGACCTCCGTAGATAAACAGATCGACGGGAAAAAATGCGCATTATTGGTAAATACTGATGCATCGAAAACGATCCTGGACTTGGACTTCTGACGTCTTCAAGAAAGCAAATTGTGAACTCAAGATGGCGTTTGAGAACTGCTAAGGGTGAAGCTGCCACCGTTAAATTTCCACATCGAGCTATCATGGCTGATATTGAAGAAGATGTTATTCTGGGAAGGGACATCATGGGTGCGCAAGGGATTCAACTGGACTTCAGAAGCAGAACACTCAAGGTGGGTGCCGAAGAGATCTTCTTACAGTCACGGGTAGAGATAGCGGCAGAAGTAACGTGAGGAGAGGACGTACTGTTACCGAAACGGAGCAAGACCATTGTAGCAGCTAGGATTGAGGGAACCATGACGAGGAAGTCAAACGAGGAATCTTAGTGGGCAAGGCTTGACTGTCAGCACACGACCATGTTCGATTAATGAACATAAATAATCACTTTGTGACTATTGGCAAAGGAACGAAGATTGAAACCTGTGTCCTGGAAGCCTTCATAATCCACCAGGTGACAGCAACCACTAATGAGGCCGGAAAGTATGAAGAACTCTTTTCTGCTGCAAGCGACTCACTCAACAATCGACAGAAGGAGAAGTTAACCAAGTTATTTCAAAGGTATAGAACCATTTTCATATCTGCCAAAAACAGTTAAAACCAACATCCTGAGTCACAAAATCGAAACGGGGGATACCAGACCGATTCGTCAACTAGTTCGAAGATTACCACAGGCCGAGAGATAAGTTGCAGGAAGGATCATCTAGGATATGGAACAGGACGGGGTAATCGAGCCATCAACCAGTCCTTGGGTTTCAACAGTGGTCCTAGTAAAAAAAGAGAATGCAAACAATCGTTCCTGAGTCTAGAAGCTTCTAGAACAAAAGAAGGGTACGAAAGATTATTCGAGAACGTTCGAGAAGCACAGCCTGCCAAGGGATCTGATTCATGAGGACGGACGGACAAGTGCCGTCAGTCAGTCAAGCAGCGAGTATCAGAGAGACAGTAATATGATGCGTTATATAAATCGTTTCACATGAATGGTAGTTATAAGTTCGAGATAATAATCAATTATTAGTGTTCCTCGAGTTGAAACAAATCAGTTCGAAAATGAATGGTGTCATGTTTGCCTCTGCATCGGAATAACATAACAATACTCACGTGAGTTATGGATTGAGAGTACCATTCACATTTTCTTCTGAACACTTACCTTGTTGGTATCTATTTAAAATTATTATTGAGAATCGAAGATTCGTCCATGATGTTCATAACATGACTTGAGTATTTTCACCTAGTGCATTATCTTTTCATCATTCAGGAATTTGATGCAATGTTATCTAATTTCAATGATCATGCTGCATTTACTCGTTTTCAATCAATCATCAAAAATTTCTGTAGGAAATGTGCATTTCAAGTACGAGGACTTTGTTTCAACATTTGAATCAATATCCAGTTACTTTACAGCGGGTAAGAAGATACTTCACAGTTCTGCGATGAACTGATATTATTCATACAGGGTGTGAAGATATTTTGATCTGAGTGAACCCAATCACAAATATGTGATTAGAGAGTCGTTGAAGCTTTTTCTATAACATAAAAATGATATTCTTCTTCAGAATGAGAGGATACTGTTCGAAAGTATTGATAGTTTCTCGAATCAGGATAACTTTCATAATTTTCCCATAAAAACAGTTTCCTGCTGAAGAATGTTCAAACTCTTTCACTTGATCATTGATTATTGAAACAGAAAGTTCATTCCAGCAACGATATGATTATTCCTCATCATAAATACGATTATTTATTCAATTGTAACATAATATTTGAATTTTTTATGTTACCTGGTGCATATATTTTGGGAACTCGAAATAAATAGAGAACTCACCAACATAAATATATCAACCCATGGATATTAGTTAATATTTTATTTGGGTAGAAGCTTGATATCTCCACTATGAGGTGTCCACATTGCTCACTCTGTATAATACCCTTCATTCAGTATAATACAAGTTACTTCAATTATATCATTGTTCTTATAGAACTTTCCCGATAATCTTGTAGTAGGTAGGCCATATCTCGAACTTCCGAAAACATCTAACAGTAAATATAGAGAATAAGTTTCTATGAATAGAGGAAGTAGATGGTACTTACCCGAGGAGAAGGCTCCTTGGATGTTTATTACATTCTCAATAGTCATCTAGCATGTAGTGATATCAGCAGTATTTTATGTTATGAAAAGAAGATGAAAAAATGTAAATATCTTGTAAACATTTTCAAAGCCATAGAGTAAATAGGCATTTAATTGTGGATAGTTACCTCGTTATTTCCGATTTTCTGAGTGGAAAATGAATTTTTTGAAAGATTATGTTTTTTTTTTCGCTCTCTGATAGAATATGTTGTCTATTTGGTCGGACATTTTTTTGAGGTAGTGGAAATGAAGGTGAATATATTGTAGATTTGAGGGGCCTTTTACGTGGAATTTAAGAAGTCGAGGCCACTAACCAGAACGGCCATTTTGGGTAACCCAAGAACTGAACACAAACCCTTGGCATCATTGCGCTCACATCCTCTAGACAACTGGCATTCGTGAATGAAGATTCTGGGAGGTCCTTCTCCACTTTCAATGACAATCACCTGGCTGGGATACTGATCCGGGAGAATTCTACCTTCTTGGGAGTCATCGCGCTGACCTCAGCCCATGGTACCTGGATTCGTTCTACGACTCCAAGGAAAGTTTCAATCGTCGGCAGCTAGTGAGAAAGTCACGGACATACATAGCTAGACTATTGCGCTAAGACCTCTCTAAGGGGGCCGCACCATAACCGATTGATTGATGAACATACCCTGCCACCTACAGATGGAGATAGAATTGAGACCTCTCCAATTGTTTTGATGAAATATCAAATAATCAACCTTCGACCACCACCGACATCTTCACATTATGGTTATCAAGTGCAACAACAATTTTATGAGTACTTATTCTTGAGGACCCCTATGGGTTATTTATTGAGAAATTTTTGTGCGCTTTGCTACTTGCTACTACCACAGGCTACTTTGCCTGTAACGGGGAGATTAATATTTCACTGGGTTCCTTTATGTTTTTTCACTGCGGAATTGGTAATACTACTTCTATGAGTCTATATTCAGTCATTCTACTTGGATAGTAATAAATGATTGGTGTATTTTGCTTATTATTGATTTCCACTGACTGAATTACACATGGAACCACAAGTGTACTTTCATTTGTCTTATCACATTCCATGTCAGGTTGAAATTCAAAATTCATAAGTTCTTCAACTGACATTTTCTCAGTTTTACACTCATTAAAAACACTAAGTGATGCTCAACTAGTCACCTAACAAAACCAGAATACTAGCCAAATGCTCACCAGACGCAAGAGTTGCCGGTGCCAATGGTGAGACTTGCTTTCCTGCTTCTTATTTATAGAAATTGAATAAACAGAAGTGAAGTTCGTATCACAATATACATGCACTTGATTCTTCGGAAACTCAATAACACCTGCTATTCACTTGTATTTTATTCATCATATTTTCATCATATAGAGAAAAGAGATAAGTCATGGAAACCATCCATCCTTCTCAAAGTGGTCCAGTCGACCGACTTTGTGTATTTTGTTTTTTCTTTGAGAAAAGAGATAAGCGATAAGTAGACGAAAGGCGTTTGTTGGTGTGCTGTCCGTTTACTTCAAATTTTATGTGTGTTTTCAGTGCCATATATCGTAGTAGTATACCTACGTTACAAAAATGATAGGTGCTACATCACCTTAGACCTTCGACCGTGACCTTTCGTCGTGACCTTGGGTCGTGACCTTTGACCTTTGAGCATGACCTTAGGCTGTGACCTTTGATCATTCTTTGACCTTCAATCATGACCTTCATCGTGACCTTTGATCACGGCCTTCGAAAGTGACATATGACCTTGGATTGTGGCCTTTGTCCTTCGATCGAGGCCTTTGTCCTTCGACCGAGGCCTTTAACCTTCGACCGAGACCTCTGTTAATGGCCTCTGATCGTGATCATTGACATTGAACCGTGACCTTTGATTTTGATCGTTACCTTTGACCTTGACCCGTGACCTCTGACCTTTAAACGATCTTCGATACATGATGGTAGTTTCATGTTGGTCTTATGACTTTGTTCCCATATAGACCTTGGCCGTATATGGTCGTATGACCTTGGAATAATTTCGCTCTCGACTTGTTTCTCTCACGGATCCAAGACTCTGGACTCTGGACTCTAGACTCTGAGTTCAGCCCTCTCTGGTCACGTGACATATAACCAAAATGGTCGAAGTCATTTTATTCGACACCATGGGTCGGCTAGATGTTACGCCACTGACAGCGTTTCTTGGAATTCCAGCTATTGGATAATTTGCGACGCAATATACGAGAACAATGCCGCCTTTGTTTGTAGGTGCCTGATTACGTAACAACCTCATCCGATTGCATCATCCCCATCTGTGTGAGAACAATGGGTCCATTGTTCTGACGCATGTGGCCGATGAGTCATTCGATTATGCTCGCTGGGAGACATCCTGAAAGAGTACCTCTATCTACTTCCTGTCGACACTGACTCAGCGCTTCTTGGAATTTCGTCGAGTCAGCTATTTGGAAATTCGCCTCAAGAACAATACCTTCGTTGTTTGCAGGTGGTTGATGACGTCACAACCTCAAGCCCTATATAAGGAGGTCAGAACGTTCGTAGGCGTCATTCCATTCTGAACTTTGACACTGGTCGGTCGATCTGTTCCTTTCTATTCGGTTGCTCCTGTCTGTTCGGTTGCTCCTGTCTGTTTCATTATATCGTGTGTGGGTTGTGCCAGCTGATTATAAAAGGTGAGTTCTTTATTTATCACGTTTCAAGGCCATGTGGTCGGCCCTTCTTGTGACTAGTCTTCAATGATCATTCCACCCAATACTAGAAGTAGTAAGTTTCTCATCAGATGAATGTTTCAGCTATAACCCTCAAGCTGCTGCCTTCAAGCCAACTGTCGCACTAAGTAGCTTGCCCATCAACCAACCCCACCCCATTGAAAATATCAGGGTGGTCCAGACACGATTCGGGGAGGCTATTGTAGTCAAACTTGAGGCATTCAGCGTCTGCCAAGGAAGGTGGTTTGCCTCTTTAAGCCTCAGCTTCCGGCTTTCACCCCAGGCAAATACAGCCTGATTCACAAGAGGAGTGACACCGGACCTGCAGTCCTCTTTGAGATTACTGAAAATTAGTGGTGAGAAGAATATCATTTTATTTGATATTTCTCGCAACATGAATGTTAATAGTATTGCTTCTGCTAGTGATGATATCGTTGAGAAATTTAGGACAACAGTGAAAATTTTGAGGAAGAAGAAGAGCATATCAGCACATGAAAGGTTATCAATGATCAGGCAGATAGGAGCGCATATAAGAGAATTTAATTGGGTGATCAGGGGGACCAATTCGACAGCGGGGGTGTTGAGAAAATTAGAAATTAATGTGGCACATTTGAAACGTGTTCAAAGTTTGATTAGGAAGAAGAATCATATTGGGGCGGGACTTGGCAATCGTGAGAATAGAATATTATGGAGATTCGTTCAATCTATTTTTGAGAGTAGAGTAAGGACAGGTGTTATAATCAATTTAAGTCATAAGGAGTTGTTGCAATTTTTGCAGGACGCATCGCATATTTTTAAAATTCAAATTAGAAAAATATTGAGGGAATTAAACATGTTGAAGGTCAACACCACCTTCTGTGGTGAGTTTATTAAGAAATCGGATAACGCGGAGATTATTGAATTCAAATATTTCAATACAAAGAATGCTACAATGGATGCGGGAACGGATTTAGATTGTTGGTTTGCGGATAATGTGATTGATGACATAGTGAATGAACTTTCGGAATTCCAGGAGAAAGGTAGTGGCTGGGCCTTGCGAGAAATCGTTTCTTTAGAGGTGAATGTTAATAAATTAGAAATTGGCAATGGTTCATCATATATCAAGCTACCAGAGAAGATTTTGAAAAAGCGTGCATGCATCAATGTTAGAAACAATGATGAGGCATGCTTCTTCTGGGGTATCGTCAGCGCTCTACATCCTGCTGACCAACATGTAGACAGGCCCAGCTTGTATCCTCATTACAGCCAAGTTTTGAATACCGCAGGCTTGGATGAACCCGTCACTCTCAACAATATTCCTAAATTTGAAGAACTTATAACAACTCTTTTGATGTTTTGGAAAAGAAAGAGATTTTGATTTGTTATAGGCACGGCAGCTCGCTTGTTTGGGAGCAGGTCGTGAGTTAGTTCTTTTTATTGTTCACTAGTGGGGTTATCCTTTTGTCAGGCGCCACTCAGTTTTCACAGCTGAATTACCTACTGAGAAAAAAATCCAAGATATAAATATAAACCAAAATAACTGTTAACTGATTTATTCACCTTAACATGCCAACAGTAGAATATTCATGAGAGTTCTGGACCCAGAACGCTCTATGCTCAATCTGGCCCAAACGGTCATCGAGTTCCTCCAAGTGCAGTTGAAGACGTTGCAGAGCTCCTGGTGTGTGAACTGAAGAACCCCGACGTCATGCATAACTTAGAATGTATCTAGGGTGCCTGGTTCCTAAATTTCGGTAACATTTTTCGTTGCCAGTCTTTGGTCCAGAAATCACCCTGTTTACGTTTCCTATGCCATGATCTCATCAGTGTAATGAATTCAATAATAATTTTCTAGGTGTGTTTGTTTATCACGCTCGATCATGGATTAACATAATACCATGGTCACTATGCAGAGAACAATAACAAAATATCCGTCGTTTCCACGCCTCAATGATCTCATCGCAACAACAACAATAAGTTTGTTTATCGAGCACTAATGATCTCATCGATAATACATACACAATCTACCGGTGCAAATTTCGATTATAGGGTGGACAGGAATGGTTTCCAAAAATGTATAAAAATCATGAAAAATGTATTTTTTCATCAGTTCTGTTGTTATCCTCTTCAGTTACGTATCATTATGTCTGAATTTGAAGATAGTGCCATCAGTAGTTTGTCAGGTCAGTCATATGACTTTGTGGATGAATATCATTGCGTGATCCCAATTTCACGTAATGGAGAAATTATAAATGATGAAGAGTTCGATGGTGGAAAAGATGTTGAGATAAAGCTGAGTTTTCCTTCACGTGGAGAACCCTACCAGATTCCTGAGAAGAATTATCCGTTGGATAATTTCATCAACGAGAATATGTGTCATACTAAATATGCGAGCTGCAATAAGTATTATCATTTATTCAATCCAGTTAATGGAAAACATTTCATCTTGTGCCCGTCTTGTTATTCCCGTACAGATTTGGTTTCGAAAATGAAAAAATACTCAGCATCATTGTTCTGTAATAATAAACATATTCATGCATTTGCTCATATTCATTGTTTCAAGTGCAAACGAGATTGTATAGAATATAGAACGTGTGAATTCAGAAATTCCTACAATTTTAAAAATGTTTTAGGTGTTTGGTCATCTGAAATTGTTTGATTGCAAGTGTTATGATTAAATGCGAAATGAAATAATGTATTTGTCATCATCAATAGCTGATGCATCACCACTCATAGTAAACAAGTGATGTCACATATAATTCCATGAAAATAAATCTGATGATATCATCCTACCATTATTCATGTTGGGTAAACAAGTGAGTTTTATTCCAAGGTGGGGAAACAGTTTGAAGTGGGAAGATTGATATAAAAAGAATAGCGTAGG